GAACAACTGCAATTGAAATGATGACGACATGCAAACTCGGACAAATCAAGCGCGACCTCACACCTCAGAACTCGGGCTCTTTTAAGAAGGAAGTTCTGTAAGAAGACATATGGTTCCACCAGTACTGTAAGTTCCTTTGTAGTACAATCACTAACGAAGTAAAGCAGGTTCTCAAAAACCTCAAACAGCACTCGGTTCTTGCCTGAAACAGTGAGTCCTAGCAGTGAGCTTAAGTCCTACCCTCTTGTCTTCCTTCATTTACAGATACCAACTCACCATACCGCTCCCATTTCTACAGTAATTTCATAGGAATACCCAACCTTTTTGAGCCTTGATTATGCCCCTCCCGCTGGAATCACCTGCATCCTGTCGCAAGCGGTGTCGCGCACGACATCGCGCGGATAATTGCGACCGCCCCTTCGTCGTCGCGCGATCGATGCGGCCTCGCCGTAATGCACCGTTTACGTTAAGTTATTTCCACTAGCGCCTAGATTTCATTCAACTTTAATGACGATTGATTTTTCTTACCTTTAAGTGCTGTGAACCTTTTGCTGTCCGACTAAAGCCATAAATTGCTGGTCTTTGGGCCAAATCTTCTATTTATAGCTTCTAATCCGAAAAAATTGCTTTGGAATTCCTCCTTCTAGAGATTGGAACCTCCTTGATTTGGCCACACTTTATGGAAGGAGATTTTCGAATAACTTTGTAAAGTCCAACTACTCGGAATTGAAGACCTGACTTTGAAATCTTTTCTACCTTTCTTTCAAGTCCTAGTGCGCAAACTTATTCCTTCGACTAATTTAGTAATAGAGTCATTCCTTCTAGTGTTCTTCTTTTTTAGCGAAGTGAGCAAAGCTTTCTCCAAGGGAGATCGTCAAACCCGTTCTCCTTCCCGTACCCGTTGTTCGCCACAAAAACGACCGTCACAAACGCCCTGGATCGGAATTCAACATGGAACAGAATGAACTATTACTACGCGCCGAGCGTCAGTCAACCGGACGAACACACTTTCCTATGTGGTTATAATAAGGTAGGTACTATTATTTGTTATGTTAAAACATTTCCTCCTGAATTGTGAATCTTCTTCTCATCTTTCGTTGGTTGTCTCATGCCCAAGACAGGTTTTGTGTGATTCTGAGATCGTCCGGTATTTCTACCATCTTTCTGGGTAACCGTGACACAGAAGCTGTTGACCAATAATTCGTCTCATTCTATTTATCGAAGTGTTGCCACCATAAAGGGCTCTGTTTGTTTAACAAAGTTGTGCTCTCAACTGATAACAAATAAGGTTACTTCATGACATGCGAAGCGCTTCATGCTTATTTTGGAGGCCTTTTTTGACGTTCTGGATCGTACTGGAGACATCTCATACTTGTATAAAGCATATATACTCAATTATATTATATTTAAAATCTTACCCTCCCTTTCTTCTCTATATATGTAAAGTAACCGAAGTCCAGAACTCGGTCCAATAAGCCACTTGGTTCAACCTCCTCCATGAGTCAGGAACTCGTCCACAACTACTGAAGAGCAAGGTGAAGCAGCGGATATAATTTACATTAGGAACTTACTACTTTCTATTGTTGTTTATATCCGCTGCTTCTCCTTACTCTTGCGCTCCATCTATAGTCGGACTCCTTGGCAAATCCCTGGTATATTTTCCAGAATGTAGCTTTCCTTAGTTTTGTTGCTATCCATTATCCTGATACTCAGTAATTTCTTCCTTTTTTTCGCAATTCGTATATCTCATACTTCATCTGCAACTGACATGCTGACTAGGAACGCGACATTTCCTTTATTGCGCTAATGCAAAACCCTGACATATGTGCCCCTCTGCAAAAACAGCTATGATTCCAAGCGGACACTTTTCGAACAGCCTGTTCACTTTTCCTATGGTGCCGCGAAATCATTTACTTAATTTCAATTAAATTCGAGAAATGAACTTATTTACTAGAAAGCGATTATGGCCTAGCAGAACAAAAACGCCTTCTATGCTGTTTAATCTCCTAGTTGTGGTTACCACATTTTCTTCTTTTCTCAATATTATACTGTAATATTCAAGGTACGCCGCTACGGCACAACTCAACCTCCATCCTCAGATCATTTACCAAGAAAATACATAAATTATACAGTCAAACCGGACGACACATTACAGGGCATAGCTCTTAAAAATGATTGCTCGGTGAGTACACACACTAGAAGCTTTTTTTTGTTCATTTGAACATTATTTGATATTATTTTTTGCCCTACACAAAAAAGCTGAAGAGGCAAAGGCCATGGAGTTTTCAAGGGCCGGGAGGACGTCTTTTTTTACTGCAAATATTCGGTACGTCATGTGAGAGCTTTAATCTCACACATAACTTTTCTGGGTAAGAGTGAAGAGGGCAACCAAACGCCATGAACGTGGTCAATTAGACGACATAGAATTTCAAAATTAATGGCCAAGTAAGTAGTTGTCAAAAGACACAGAAGTCTTCAAGGGCGGGCTATTGCACCTCTCTTGTGAAGAGCTCGCTCTTCTTTTTTCCTTTCCAAGGGTTAGTAACAACAGATTTCTACCCATTCAAACCGGGAATAGTAGATGATACAAAAGGTACAGGTAGCGGACTAGTCCAAGACACCCTAAGGTCTATGATGTAGGCTGCTAGTTTCCAACATTTCTACATGGTGATTCAGGTGTCAGCCATTATTCGTGCTAACAAGTTATGGTCGATGGAGGCTCTTCACCTGAAGACATCTATACGGATACCTATAGGAAATGACGGTTCTCGGACAACGGGTAGCATTAAAGAACTGCGAAGTCAACGCAGTGAGCCATCGAAGCCTGTAGAAAAGATAGATGACCGCCCACAAGAAAGCATGAGGGACATTTTAAGTCGAATCGATGCCACAATAAAAACTACGTCTACAACGGTGCGAAAACTTGAACGGGAATCAACGTAAGGCGC